TCATCAAACCTCAAGGGCAAAGAAGGAATCCTCTGGAGGCCAGGTGGAGGAAGGCAAGGCACCCTAAAAAGGTAAAACTCAGGCTCACCCTAAACTGGCCACAGCAGAGTTCAAAACCAGAAGACACTGAAAAATGCCTACAATTCTGAGCAAAAGAATGTATGTCACCCCTGTATTTTAAAGCCAGGCAGCTTGCTCCTCACACCATGCACACAAATAGGTACATCCAAGCATTTTTAAGAACACCACATTTCAGAGAACACAGCAAGGGGAGAGGGAGGCGGCAGAGATCAGAGGATGCAATCCGGTCAGCTAAGAGGTAAACAAAGAATTTTAGAACCTGTCCATCAAAACATGGCTCTGGAAGCAGCATTAGTATCGTAACGGAGCTTGTCAGAGATACAAACTCCAACTCAGACGTACAGCACCAGAACCTGCATTTCAACCAAATCCCCAAGCGGTTCGTATAGACTTTAAGGTTTGAGAACCACTGCTCTGAAATAGAGAAACACTGGTGAAGGTCAGGCAATGGCAGGTGAGTCGAGGGAAGGAAAGTAAGGCCCTGGGCATGACAGCACAGCGCAGGACGCAAATGCTACAAGCCTCGTCGATGTGAAAATAGTCGCGAGAGAAATCCAGAGCTGGGGGTGGTGAGTAGCAGATCAAGAGACACTGTGCAATTTTAAAACTGGGAATAAATCCCATCTTCCTCCCAAATAAGTGAATAACCACAGAAAATTGAAGTAGCTTGGAAGGAAGAAAACTATTTTTGAACTTCAGCAATTTTTGAAGTTTCGTTTTAATTGTTTCGTCTATTAAATTCAAATCAAACTAAACAAATTGCTTTTAATTTAAAAATATGTACAGTAAGATTCTATTTTTGTAAAAGTGCTTCAATTTACCTAATTAGCTATCACTCCATCAGAGAGCGAGCTGTGGTGATATTCACCAAATGTTAATTTCTTCTCTATGGTGGAATTCAAAGTAATTTTTTTTCTTTTTTGGGGGGCGCGGGTACATTTGTAAATTACTTGATTGAAAAAACAAATAATGGGCTTGTACCAATTTCACAAAAAAAGTTCTTAAAAAAAACTAAAAATATAATCAGAAAGGTCTGTCTTTGTCTCAAGTAACAGATCGATGTGATGTTCTAATTAGTTCTTAGATTGTATAAATCCTAAGGAAAAATATAATGAAAATGAGGCAAAAAGAAGTCAAAGTGGGAGATGAGCTGGGTAAAAATTTAACTACTTTTAGGTCCACTGAAAACTGCTTTTCCATTAGCAGGATGTTAGAAAAACCTTGCAATGCGTTCTGTTAAGAAACTTCTCTGGCAGTCTGCAAATGCTCAGGATCTCTCCAGGGCTCTGCCCTCCGTGTCATGCTGTGCCTGCAGCTTGGGCGGTGGCCCATCCTGAGTGCTGCCAGTCTCTGACTGAGCTCACTGAGTCCTGCCTTGCTTCTCTGTCCTCTGCTGCTCTCTGCACTTCTAACAGCCAAATCCAGGAGAGCCCACAGATGGTATCACCTTCCTTGCACAATGAAACGCCCAGAGCTCTAAGAAGTGAATGTGAACCACACCCCAGATCTAGTTCTCAAGTTGATGATGATCAGAATCAGTCCAGGAAAAAGAACTGGTATAAATGTAAGAGCCTGGGCCCCATCCTCCTTCAAAGCTTCTGGAGGCTCTGGGTCCTTCAATGGCTCAGCCGGTGATCCAGATCTCCACCAACCTGTGAGGGCTGAATCGGGCTCTGCAGATGGACCGGGGCATTGGAGAACTTCCAAGCTTCCCAGGAGATGCTGATCACAGCCAGGGCTGAGAATCGCTGCCCTCACATCTGCTCCTGGATCTAACGAAGGATGTGGATCTGTGCCGCTTCCCTTCCCCAGACAACGCTGGGCCCAGTGACAGCAACAGAGTGTGATGGAAGGCAAGTCCACCTCCCTGTTGACCACACCCGTCTACTGAATGCACTGATCTTGCTGACACCCAGGCTGTGACTTAAGTTCCCCCACCTCAGGACCTACTGAACCTTTACGTAAGAAAGTCACTACACTGAAGTTGTCCTCTAGATCAACCTCGTCTCGTCACAGGTGAAGCAACTGAAGACCAAGGTGTCCGCTGATGGCAAAGTGCTCCCTTGACCCAGAACTCCTCCCACTAACCCTGGACCATTCGCTGTCCCTGGATGACCCCCACCCGGCTGGGAAATGCCTCCGCACACTCAGAACAGGATGAGACAGACGCCTTTGGAGACAACACCTCATTGCGGTCACTTCCACCTCCCCTACTTGGCTGAGAGAAGATTCCACAGGGACAGCTGGCCCTGGAGAGAGTGCCCTGACATCTGGAGTCCCTGGGATTAGCCAAATCTTTCTCCTAGAACCTGAACATGCCAGTGGACTCTTTGGAATCAATAATATGATGGAGGTTGAACTTTCCAAGACTACAGAGTCCAGTGGTTTAGAGCACACACTCTAGAGCCAGCAGCCTTGGCTTTAAACCCCGGAGGTATGACTCAGTGTAAATTATTTAACCATTTTCTGTGCTTCCATGTCCTCATCTTAAAGTGGGGATGAGAAGTACACCTGCCTCATAGGATGTGTGAGAATGAAATGAGTTCACGCTTGCAGAGGACAGTGTCCGACACACAGTAAGCACTATGTGTAGATCTATTATTCCTATTCTTGAATTATACCCACATGTCTGAAGGCACCCATCCTTCTCTCTTCTTTCAGTTCCACATACAAAGCCAGTGCTTTGCCCCCGACTTCCACTGCACAAGCTACTTCCTCCTTGGTGGTCAGACCCCCAGCACTGACAGTAGCTTTCCCGTTTGCCCCCTACGGACTCTTCCCACAGTCCCGGTCATCCTGGTATCAGCAGAGCAACTGAGCCCCTCATGATTTCAGCATAGACGTGATGGTTGGCTGAGACCTCAGCCATCCCATTAGTAATAATTCTGTTAAATAACTGTATCTTGTCACCCGTGAGAAATGGGATGGCATCACCTGGCGCTGCCCTTGGTCCTGACCTAATCAACATTTGAATCCATAAAGTGGAGAGAAATTATTTAACGGAATGTATATCAAATCAGGAAGTGACAGAAAGCTGGAGGAAATGACTAAAATGCCGGCGAGTGAGTTCAGATTCACTCAGACCGATCATGGGGGTTTGGAATTCTGGACTGAAGCCAAGAGAAGGTGATCTGGAGACAGGACAAATGTATGTTATAAATCAAGGAGGCTTGGCTCTGTAGCTCACCCTGTGAAGAAGACCAAGGCTTGCCAGGTGACTGCGTGCTTTCTGCATTGATGCAGGGCAGGGCTGCATCCCAGAAAAGGCCAGCCCACTGTCCTCTGGACTGAGGAGGCTCCTTCCTAAGAGTCTCTACTGTTGTGCAAGCCACAGGGTAATAAGGATATTAGTGACTGGAATTTGCAGATAATTCATTTATTCATGGATCCGTTCACCGTCATTGGCTTTATTTCCTTTATCTCTGCAAGTCACTGGCCCAGGAGCTACTAAAAGAAGGACTACACCTGTTCTGGTTCTTCAGAAGGTGTCAGATAATGGGGTGGAAAACCGAGAGGTGCATTCGATGGAGGGTAACCTTTCTAAGAATCAAGGAGTGAGCTTCCTGTCACCAGGCTCTCAACGCAGGGAAGGGAGTCCACCAAGGACTCGCTGTGTTAGGCAGCTGGATCCGTTAGGTCCTCTTCCAAGGCCCTTCTGTGGTTCCATGAATCACATGACAAAGCTGGAGCAGCCCGCAGAGGGAGGCTGGGGAGGAGGGAAATGGAGCCAGAGATTCTTCTTGCACACCCAGCCCACCAGCCCCTCCTTGTGCCTCCAGGCTGCTCCTGACCGGCTTCCCTCTCGACCTGGGACCAAGGCGACTCCTGATTTGTGGAGTCTCTGAGACGCACCACGCATGTGGCATAACCTCCCCCTAGAAATAGAAGTGAAATCCACACGAGGCACCACGGTTTGGCTGTCAGGGTGACAAAGATCAAAATGTTTGATGTCAGACTGTGGTTGGTATCAAACCAACCTCCCAGCGCATGAGTCAGAGCATTACCTAGAACAATCTTTTGAAAGAAAATCTGGCATCGTATACTGAAATTTAAAATGCACACGCACTCCCTCTCCGTAACCCCACGTCTGGGAATATGTCACATAGGTATCCTCGTGTTCCTACAGAGCACCCTGTTGTACAGAGATGTTCACTGCAGCGTTATTTTTTCCTTTTTCATTTCTATTTTTTAGGTTTCAGCAGCATATTCATATCTTTTTATTATTATTCTTTAATTGTGATGAAATATACATAACATGATAATTTTCATTTTAAACACTTGCAAGTGTGGCATTAAATACATTCACAATATTGCACAGCCACCACTGCTGTCTATACCTAAAACAGTCTCATTGTCCCCAACATAAAACTCTGTACCCATTGAACAGTAACTCGCCACCCTCCCTTCCTCCCCAACCCTCTGTTCTCTTCACCTCTATGAATTTGCCTATTGCAGGCACCTCATATAAATGGAACCATAAACATGTCCTTCTGTGTGTGGCTTCTTTCACTTATACTGTTTTCAAGGTTCATCCATGTTGTACGTGTCAACACTTCATTTATTTTTATGGCTGGTTAATAGTCCACTGGACGGATATACCACATTTTGTTAATCTATCCCTCTCCTGATGGACCTTTGGGTTGTTTCTGCCTTTTGGCTATTGTGACAGTGAGGAATAGGTAATATTTTATTACATATTAATAAAATAATACATATTATATTATCTAGAATAATAATACAGTATTCTGCTCTGAACATTTTTGCACAAATATCTGTTTGGGTCTCTGCTTTCAATTCTTTCCTGAAGCACCTTTTTGAATGATAAAAAAAAAAAGTGTGGAAACAACCAAAATATTAATAGCAGATTAGTTAAGTTACTGTACATCCACACATTAGAATACCGGGCAGACCTTTAGGATGAGGCAGGCTTATGAGTCTTCATATGGAATCATCTGTAAGATACGTTGTTATGTCGGGGGAGGCAAGGAGGGAGAGGAGGGAGAGGAGGGGAAAGAGGATGAAGAGAAGCAGCAGCAAGGACAGCAACGTGGCAGGAGAACTGGGCACACGCCCAATGTATGGACTGTCTCTGGAAGGATCCACAGAGCCAGTGAGAGCAGTGCCCCAGGAGGCCACTGGGCCCAGGGTCAGCAGTCAAGGAAAACTTCCTCTCTCCCATTTGCCCTTTGTCCTGCTACAAATATTTCCATGAACTGAATGTTTTGCCTTCTGAAAATGAGTCAATATGTTTTTTAATTGGCATGTGATCTTTTAAGATCCTGAGTTTGGTCACGGGCCCAGCAGAAGCTGGCGGAGGGAGGGGGGCAGTGACAGCAGGGAGGCTGCGGGACAGCCCTGGAAACGTCGAGGCTGCTGCCCCATGTTCAAACACCGAGCTCACTATCAAAAGCCTCCCCAGAGCCTTGAAGCTTCCCAATTCCCATCCCCTTGTTTCTCCTTTTCTCCTTCCTCTCCCTAGAAAAGTAACTTTGAGAGGGGCAGGGTGAAGGATGCGGCCTCACCTCGCCAGAAAGGGAGGCCAGCAGGCGAGGCGTCAAAGCTGCAGGGACACCCTGCCCTGAGGAGGGAGGGTCAGTCCCCATCAGGAGACGCCTCTGTCACCCTCCTCCCGGCTGCACCTGTCCAAAAGGAGTCTGCTCAGAGCCAGCGGAACAGACCTCACAGGATGATAATCAAATCATATTTGAAAATGAGATGAGGAGGGGAGTCAGAACAAAAGCCTGTGAAAAGAAAAATAAGGTGAAAGTTGCCGAAATTGGTGCTCTGTATTCTAAGGCCTTCCTGGCTCCTAGCAGGGTTTGAGATTCGTGTTGATAATAGCCTCACCATAGGACCACCGAAAAATCAATGGAACTGGGACCGAGGCAGGATCCATTTATCTTCTTGGGGTGAAGTAGAAGGTGTGATTTTAAAAGACAAATTATACCGAATGTGTGTAATTGATGTGCGTACAGAGCCGTGCAAGGAAGGCCAGCGACGCACAACCGCGCAGTATCAGGCATTACTCTCATCAAGAGTTCCTTGTAACAAAGGCAACCCCAGGGCAGGGTTCAAGTGCTCTGGAGAGCAGTACTGGGAAAGGAGTTCTAGAATGCGTTGCATTAGTTTTGCATGGTTAATTCTTTGTTTGAAAGGGTGAGAAGAATACCAAAGGGAAAAAGGCAATTTGCAGGCCTGCTTTATAATGAAACTGCCTGGTTGGGACAGGACCCTAGACGTCACTTCATCCATCCCTCTGTCTCTCCTTTCAATGGACTGTCTACCTTTCAGTGACTTGTCCCCCTTCGTTTAAAAGCCTGTGAGTTTCTGTGCGTTTCCTTCACTGAGCTATATACACTCTCAGGGACAAGGATGATGGCCTGATTGCTTCTGTGGTACCCGTACCAGACACCCACAAGGTTCTCAGGCATGTTTTCCTTATTAATTGATTAATTCATTCATTGAGATCTTGTTTTTCAACCCAAGAAGGCTCTCACAGGCTCAAGATCAGAGCTGGGCATTTCACAACCAGCTTTCTGGTCCAGCAGACAATGCTAAGCCAGTCCAATTGAGGGCTTCAAGTCAGTCCTTGGAGAGGTAAGTTAGCAGAGAGCGGTGGGCAGGGACACAGGGTGTGAGGAGAACTGCTGTCCAGTGTCTGGGGATCAGAGGACCCAGGACGAGGGCGTCTTCACAGAGGTTTACCATGTGTCCACCTCTGGAGACAAGTAAGGAGCAAACCCCAGGACAGGCGAAGAAAAGAAGACTGTGCTCCAGGGAGAGTCTCCCTCCTGGCTTAAAGCCACTTCCTGAGAGCTTTCCTCAAGTCCTTAGAAAGGCAATCAGGGCTAGCACAGGGCACAAGGCCACCTGAAGTGAGGTGCTCTCCAGGCTCTCCCACGGTGCGGCCAGCAGGATGCCGGGCAACCCTTTCAGCTTTCTCCTTTTTCCTACACCCAGCCTGGCGGTGCCTTGCCCCTCCCCCTCCCCTGCGGGTTGTCCCTCCCCCTTTACTAGGAGGCAGGAGAAGAGGGAGCCCTCCCCTCTCTCCTTGCACCTTAAGGTATCTCCACCACCGCCCCGTCTTCCTTTCCCCACCCAACAAGACCCCCGCACCTCCCTGGCCCAGGAGCCTCCGGGTCACAGTGAACGGCAGCCCCCACCCAGAGTTTTCAAACCAGCCCCGTCTCCACCCACCTGATTCCAGCCTCTTCAGATCCAGCTCACACTGGCTCTTTCTCCCAGTCCTTCTCTGTCTTGCAAATTGCTCTTTCTAGTCACACTCTTCTTCCCTCAGGATAGAAAGCTGATCAGATCTTCCTTGGTCCAACAACAGCCACAACAGTAACCCAAACAAAAGCCCCTTCTGGCTGGCAGATTTCCCTTCAAGCCCTCTTTTTTTCTCTTCCTCACTTTTTATTTTAAAATCTGCATGGTACTGCTTCCACTTCCTCAATCTACACAGCCTTGCAACCAGGGAAAGGATGGTCTCCGTCACGCTTCTGCAACGAGAGGTCACTGGCAACTGACCTGGCATCACCTCTACTTTACTCATCGCCCTTCTCAGCCACGGGGCAACTCTGCCATCCCTGACCACTCCGCCCGGCCCCCTCCTCCCTCCCACCGCATCCTTCCTGAGTCTGCCCTGCTGTCCCCCTCACTGGCTTATCTTCCTCCTCCGGCTGCTGCCACGTCCTTCAAAGCCCAGTGTTCTGTCTTTCTCTAGTCCCTTCCTTGGCAATCACATCCCAGTTTAATTTAAAAATATATATATATAGCTATTTAATACTATGCATAAGACCCTGTGTTAGACACTGTTGATGTAGCGGTGAATTATAATTCTTTCCAAAAGCTGACAGACAAATGGGGTGGGGGGGTGAGGTGGCAAGGAGGAGGGAGTAGACAGATAAGTAAATGATTTAACACACTATATTAAGAAGACTTTATGGCTCCAAATGGGGATAGCAGCCCAAGGCGTGCCCAATTTTTCAGTAAAATTATTATGATGTCAGAGAAATGTTGAATACTTACAACAACCTTTCCTCAATCTAATACTGACAGATAATCAGGTGTCAGGATGAGGGGTGGGGAGGCTCTGCACCAGGGATGGAGTGAGAAAACCCACCTGAGCTTAGGACATGCTCACCCTGACTGCCGTCTGCAGCAAAGGACTGCCTAAGAAGAAAGGTATGAAGACCCACCTGCTGTCCCTGTCCCCGGAGACCCAGGGCTACTGCCAGTGAGGGACTGGGCTACACTGGGAGTCAAGGAAGCTTCCATTTCACCACACCTCTCTTCCCTTCCCAGAAATCAGCCAGTAAGAACAGTTATCCATGGCCTAGAAGTGAGATCACGCATCTGAGAGCTGTGGTCTGAGGGGAAGAACACACGCAGGGAAGGGTGAGGAAGTGGTGCGGGCAGGGAACTGGGCTTCTCACACATGGCAAATCACAAATCGCATCAGACTGGAAGAGTCAAAGAGCCAGATGCTGCAGGTCAAAGGAATACGTCATCCAAGCAGAGCAGAGATGTATCACGGGAAACATTAAAAAAATTAAGTAATTTATTTTGGGGGGGGTCATTAGGTTTTTATTTATTTACTTATTTTAATAAAGGTACTGAGGATTGACCTTGGGCATGCTAAGCACACACTCTACCACTGAGCTACACCCTCCCCTGGGAAACATTTTAGGTGTGAGAACGTGAACGGGGACCTGCACACACCCATCTCCACAGCGGGTGCCGACACGAGAGGGGAATGAAGTCACCCCGGAAGCAGGCGGACACAGAGTCCCAGGATAAGCCACTCACCCAGTCTCCAGAACCTCACCAAGTCTCAACAAAATCCATTTTGCTTTAAATTACGAGGGAACACAGCACATACCACAAGAACAAGAACATCCTTCCGTAGAGTCAGAGGAAGAACACACCTCTAAAGTGAG